TGACTGACTGTAATGCTTTGAAACTGACTCAGCGCAAGAAGGATCTACTGCCGAGGATTACTCGGTGGTGGATGTACCTACAAGACTATGACTTCGATTTGGAATATCGTAAGGGGACTGCACTATCTCATGCCGATTATTTAAGCCGAAACCCCGTCAATATTTGTGAAATACGGAAGCCGCTAAACTGGGCTCAAATAGCACAGACCGCTGATGAAGAAACACAGGGTTTGGTGCAAAAAACTTCAGGATGGTGAACTAGATTCTGCCAGATACATCAGGCACAATGACATCCTCTATTATAAGATGGATGTAGTTGGAGAGCCATCACGCTTATTATGTTATGTACCCAAGGGTCACCGCCTTAGCTTATTACGAGTCTTCCACGATGAACATCAACATATTGGGATTGACAAGACCACCGACTTAGTCTTGAAACACTTCTGGTTCCCTAAATTGAGACAATTTGTAAAGAAGTATGTACAACACTGTGTTGTATGTCTTTCGCATAAAAAGGTACCTCGTCAACCCTTACAACCCATTGAGTCATGGAGAAAACCCGACATTCCTTTCAACACCGTTCATACAGATGTACTGGGGCCTCTCCCGGCCTCAAACGGATTCAGATACGTTGTTCTAATTATTGACGCATTTACTAAGTACTGCCTTCTATATCCGATATGTAGACAAGATGCAAGCGAACTAAGGAAAACTTTTTGAGGCTGCTATTTCTCTTTTTGGCTCGCCAAAGTTAATAATTACCGACCGTGGACGCATGTACGAGAGCTCTGCGATTATGGAGAACATCCTTAATGGTACTTCTCTGTGTACATCCTGAGGGCTCTGTACTTTTTCAAGCATCCTGAGGGCTCTGCTTGCTGGTATCGCATCCTGAGGGCTCTGCGATTATGGAGAACATCCTTAATGGTACTTCTCTGTGTACATCCTGAGGGCTCTGTACTTTCTCAAGCATCCTGAGGGCTCTGCTTGCTGGTATCGCATCCTGAGGGCTCTGCGATTATGGAGAACATCCTTAATGGTACTTCTCTGTGTACATCCTGAGGGCTCTGTACTTTCTCAAGCATCCTGAGGGCTCTGCTTGCTGGTATCGCATCCTGAGGGCTCTGCGATTATTGAGAACATCCTTAATGGTACTTCTCTGTGTATATCCTGAGGGCTCTGTACTGGTTTCAAGCACCCTGAGGGCTCTGCTTGCTGATATCGCATCCCGCGGGCTCTGCGATAATGGAAGATATTTTTGACACTGTTCCTAAGAGCAGCCTCCCGAACGACGGCTACAAGACTAATGCGAACAATGTTTTATGCTTCCTTTAGATGACAACGATGAGGAGGACGCGGAGGTAGAAACTGAGCGCCAAGTTGACGCGGACGTACGTGTTCCTGTTTAGTCATCCCATGTGGATGACGGCCCTCAGCAGAACCTTCTCTCAGTTCAGGCGGGCGAGGGCGCACCGCTGTCAGGAGAAGCCGAATAAGCGGAAATAATTGGCAACACTTATTTTTATTGGGCGTGGCTTAATGACGTCACTTGCCGCTTGGAGTGAGGGAAGGATTGGAGAGGTGGGTCGTGCGAACGCGATGAGGGCTCTCTTGCGGCGACACCAGAGCTAGACGGACGTGCTGGGATTGCGTATTGTCAATATTTGTTGCTTGACTTGATTATTGTTAAGTGGGTGTTATTAAATTGTGTACAAGCATACATTCTCTTTTTTTAGTATTTCGAAATAGATTTATAACTATAGTATATTTACCAAAGTAAAAAATTGTCTACAGCAACTCAGGGGTAATATACTCTTCTAACAGTTTACTAACGTAACGGCACGTTTAAGTTAAGTAACAAGGACTTTCAAAATCGTATCAGTAATACCGGAGATTACCCTTAACATACAAACTCACAAACTTTACCGATTTTTTTTAGTATGGATTTTAAAAGAAAAATTAAATTATTTGAAAAGGTCTCTTATGTACTGCCTACTCTAATGTCATAGATCAACACACAAAATAGCAACAATAATGTTTTGTAAAATAGTTAGCAATCATCATCATCAACAGCCTTTAATAGTCCACTGCTGGACATAAGCCTCTCCTTAGAAAGGAGGTTTTGGCCTACTATACCACGCTGGCCAGACGGGTTGGTATAGGGTTTGTGTCAAGTTTTCCTTCTCTCTGCAGTGCTATTGTTCTTGGTTATTTTGCTCCCTTAGTCGGCTCTTACGACACCCACGAGGTGAATATGAATAGCAATAACTAATAATACATTATTATAAAAATAGCAGCTTCTTTCCTTCCTTCATTTTCCTGGGATTTCCTTACATTAAAAAAATAATTAAATGATGACATCATCATTTTAAACAATGTGAGGTAAAACAACAATAGTTTTGCTATTTTAACTAAATTTTGCGAGAATAACAAATAAAATATGTTTAATATTTTTGCTATATGGGAGTGGCTATAGTTACTTACTAGCCTTTAGAGAAAGGATTTTTGGAAATTTCAACCCTAACATATGGGATGAACGATTGCATGGTGTTCTTCGTTTCCAAAGTTGGAAACACCAAATAAAAAACTGCCTCGGTGTCGGTCGTAGTGTTAGTGTATGCGACTGCTGCACTGAGGTCTCGAGTTCGATTCCCGAGTCAGACCAAATGTTTGTATGATCTGCAAATATTTATTTCGGAATTTGGGTGTTTTCTACGTATAATATGGATGTATTACTAAAAATAAAGTACGTAAATATTCTATCAGTCAATCTAGCTTTCATAGTATAAGCTCTGCTTAGTTTGAAACTAGATGGCGTTCTGTGGTAGATTTCTGAAAATATTATATATATATTAAAATATTGAATAAATATATATTTTGAAATTAAATGTATGTATATGACGTAAACATGTATTCGTGCATGTACTTTTAAATAGCACTATTAATTGTAATTTTGTATTTATAAATGTTTAGTTCATAGCTTCTTTTCTACTTTTCATTGGACATATGCACCTGCCATGTCCCTTACTGAACCATCTTAATGTTGACTTGTAGATTGTCCGTGTGGTGACGGATTAAGAATACAGAGTGTCACCACCCCTATTCATCCCGTGGGTGTCGTAAGAGGCGACTAAGGGAGAAAACTACGCAGGACAACAACACTGCAGAGAGAAGGAAAACTTGAAACAAACCCTATACATACCCGTCTGGCCAGCGTGGTATAGTAGGCCAAAACCTCCTTTCTAAATGGAGGCCTATGTCCAGCTGTGGACTATTAAAGGCTGTTGATGATGATGATGATGATGATGACATTAAGTCCGCCTCGTGTACATTATAATGCAGGTAGTGTAAAAATAAAATAAACAAAAACATATTACACAATTAACTGAAATAACTTGGTTAAAATTTCCCAATAATTGAGGATAACTTGATATAACATGATGCAATCAGGGAACAACTATTTAGTATTGCACCATAATATCCCTTTGACTAGACTGCACGGATGGCGTAGTGGTTTAAGCGGTCGCCACGCCGCTTCCTACTACCCCGAGTGTTGTGGGTTCAAACCCCACATGGGACGACACTTTGTGTGATCCACAAATTGTTGTTCTGAGTCTGGGTGTTCTTTGTGTCCGTTTCAAGTATGTTTGTAAAGTCCCCCGCGACACAGGATTTATTCCTAATGCGGGAGTTGACTTTGTTAAAAAAAAAAAAAAAAGATGCTTGTTTGCCCCTCAATTAGAATTAATTCGAATCATTTCATTTATTTGTGATCAGATAAAACTATAAACTCATTCTGTAAGGATGCTATGATATTACGTCAGATTTATAAGTTAACACTGTACAGATAAATACAGAAGTACAGTTTGGAAATAGACACTAAATAATATAATAGAAAGAAAGCTGATTATTAACGCGTTTACAAAATTAAGTTTGTGTATTGTTTTGGTATTTAATGTATGTTCATATTGTACATGTATGTGAGGGTCACATACTGATTACAAGCACGCAGTGCATTGCCCGCGCGTCCTTTTTAGGAGAGTACGACTACCGGTTGCACCGGTTTATGGGATCTTTTTTCATCATCATCAACAGCCTTTAATAGTCCACTGCTGGAAATAGGTTTCTCCTTAGAAAGGGTTTGTGTCAAGTTTTCCTTCTCGCTGCAGTGCTGTTGTCCTGCGTAGTTTGTTCCTTAGTCGCCTCTTACGACACTCATGGGATGAATAGGGGTGGTGACCTTATTCTTAATCCGTCACCACACGGAGTCTTTTTTAGCGTTGACGATTCTCTATATCCCAATTATCGTGAATTGGGGTTATTTTTAGTCGGTAAAAGTCCGATAGACCCCTTTGTCCCCTCAATAATGGCAGAATCCATGAGAATCTTAGTAAATTATGTCTGTATTACGTCAACTTACTTTTTTTTGGTCTCCACTTCCTGGCGGCGCCGACGGTCCCGTCAAAGTATTATATATAGTATATTTCAATTTATTTTTGAAACAAAATATATCATTCTCTACTTACGACGCTTAAAAATATCAATTAATTTACTTGAAACACTAATTTAAATTTCGAATAGTTTAAAAGAAAATTATAATAATCAAAGTAGAGATATCTTAAATTTCTGGTAACGTTCTTGTATCGTGACTTTTGTTTACTATTTGGCTTTTTTGCACAACTGAATCACCGATTGCATGCGTCGATGCCCGATATATGTATACGCATGGAACAAGTGGAGGGAGCATTGACGGTGTTCACTTCCCGCTGAACACACGTTTAGCGGCGAGCGTAGAAATAATATCAATATTATTTTTTACGTTATCAGTGAAACTATGTACTAAAGTGAATCTCTTGAAAGTTGAACAATTTTTTTTGTGAATCTTAAAGACAATGAAGTTACGCTTGCTTTCGGAGCCTCGTCATCAGTTGATGAAGAGTTTATATTCATGAATTGAGATTTTACCGTCGATATACGGACTGATAAGTGAACAAAACAAAATGGTTAATTATTTTATTTATGCGACGGACGATTCCATGTCCACGCGTGGAGCAGAATACTTCAATAGAAAAGGATTGGAGACACTCCAAAAATTCAAAGATGAAGTTAAGGATTTGCAGAATAATAGTGGGGGCAGTGTCGAAGACGATAGGGTAGTATACCTTCACTGGAGCCACCGATGCGAACCAATTGAAGAAGGTAAGGTAGAGTTAAGATACAGAGAGAAAAATGGAAATGGTTACAATACCTTACCACATACAGTGCTAGACTGGATGGCTCAAAATTTAAAAGAAAATGATACAGTACAACTACTGTACGTAATCACAGATGGCGCTGTGTATTCTGCTAACATCAGACCCATCGATCCTAATATGAAAATTGATAATGTTGTATTCTACGCGTTTAATTCAGACATTAATAGAATAGATATGTCTGTGGCGTCCATGTTTATTTGTAACAATAAGCGTTACATTGTGCATTGTAACGAAGAGCTGGTAGATGATACAGATCTGTCGAATCCTTTCGATTATGACCAAATAACTGTGAAAACGTTCCATGAGAAAAAGGAAGCATTAAAGTCATATATTAAGTTACAATTTCTAAATAAATCCTCCTCAGATCGTATGGCGTTGGAGGAAATCAAAAAGATAAAACGCTTACGTACCCGTTTGTATGCTGAGCTTGAGGCCGAGGAAAAACTTAATCCAGAAGCATCTTTAAACTTAAATGTCAAAGATAAAGACAGTTTCGTACAACAATTTAAGAGAACTACATTCTATGCAACAATAATGAACTCTGACCATCACAATCAGAAGCAAGTTATTGAGAGTTGCATCAGCGCTTTAATCAGTTACATCAATAATGACAAGAAATCATTCAACTTTGACAATTTAAAGTTTACGCAGAAATTCACTCCGGCTCCAGAAGAAGAGGATGTGTCCAACGTTGGTTACGACAGTGCAGAAGAAATCTCATTCCCTGATATTATTATGTCAAATGAGACGGGAATTCCCGTCATTCTGTTGACTCACTACAGTTTGATTGATAAGATTTTATTCAAGAGCGACGAAGACCAAACCTCCCACTCCGCCCACTTCTCTCGGTTCAGGAGTATGATCGAATGCCCTCTAATGTTGTTAAATGATGTCAATTTTAAAAGTTCCATTGAATACTTCTACAATTTGGAAGCGTTCAAGAACATGATCGAACACGGCATTCTTACTGGACCCCGCACGCGTGAGCCTTTCACAGGCGCCATTGTGCCGCTTGAAGAGTTCGACGATTACAATGACTACATATTGTCTTGCACATATTTCGCTGGACGAAGAGTGCCTTACAACCAAGGATTATTATACTACGTTCTGTATAAAACCTGCGAAAAGTTAGAATACATCGAACCGAATGTCGTTAAATATCTGAAAGGTTATGTTATAAAGCGTATTGCCAAAACTCAATGTTATTTAGGCCTCAGCGGAGTCTCTATAGACGATCCTTTGATAAAAGTAAATCTCACTACAGCCTTGTGGTATTGTGTTGAGCTTTCGTCTATTATCTTTGGAAATGATCCGACACATTTCACAAAAGAGAAATTGCGTATGTATAGTCATTTTGTAGAATATATGAAGGAGATCCTTGAATGGTTTCAATATCAAATCGATACAAACTTGGTTAATAGACGTGCGGATATTTTCAAACATCTGAACCAACTAAAACGCATCCCGCGTTTCGAAGATAAAGCCATGTTTATTTTGGAGCAAATATTCCTTAAAAAAGATGGATTTTTAGTTTCTGAAATTGTAAATCCAGATAACATTTATAAGTTACTTTACATAAAAATGGACCACAGGAAACTAGTTGATGAGAGTGTGTTGTCTGTTGAAGTCGACGTGCATAAGTTTGCACATTTCATGGATTATATTGAAGACACAAATGTACCTATCTGCAGAAAAACTTTGAGGCCTCACTTTGTAACAGAAGACAATAAGTCTTTCTATGAACAGGTAAAGATGAAAGCAAAGAAAGTGTTAGTACAAAACGGAAGACTGACATTGGAGCCGGTGTCCAAATTGAGCTTATCCAGAATTTTATCTTTAAACAAACTATATATATTATACGTTGAGGAACATTCAAAATATCCTACACTGGAGGAATACAAACAATTCGTGTTGAAGAAAAAACTAGTTTTTAGAAGTAAGCCGGTCATTTTTACGACAGGAGTTGTGTCCTATATTAAAGGTGTTCATCAGGATTATGAGAAGATCATTAATGACAAAAATGATCCAATAAGTGTGTCTGAATTCATTGAAATAACCAAAGAATCTGTAAATAGGGAGAAACGCATTAGGCTAGAGGAGCCCACCGCTTTTGACATGTCTGAAATTCTAGAGTACATTAAGAAATCTGAAAGTAATGTTGAATTCGATAGTTAAGGATATAATATAAAAAAAAACTCTTTTATAATTTTACTTTTTAAAACTCCATTAAATGTATTTTTTTTTTTAGTAAATAATTGTGTTTTTATTTTTTTACCTAATATTTAGTAGTTCAGAAAAGTATCGTTTTTAATCCACACGTTGTACCTACGACATGTAATATTTAGGAAATATTTAAAGATAAAAAGAAACAATTTAATTCAGTTATAGTTTGCAATTTCTGATAAAAAACTCCTCACTCCGCTTTAGGTGAAATAAAAAAAAAATTAGCAGCAGCAGAAACGGAATACCGAAAAATCCGATACACCTTAACGTTAAAGTTTATAATATTTTAACACAAAACAACGTTTCATAAAACATTTATGAATCCCGACCACTACGATGCTAAACAATATATGTATATCAAATTGCATTGTAACTTTCATAAATATATAATTATTATACTTAGATGGCCACAAGAAAACGTTTTAATTTGACAATTTAAAAATATAGGACTGCCTATATCTATGGTTCTACTTTGTATTCTACTTTAAAGTGTTAATACTTTTTCTATTGTTTAATTATAGAATATATAAAAATATCATCATCATAATCATCATCATCAACAACCTTTATTAGTCCACTGCTGGACGTATGTCTCTTCTTAGAAAGGAGGGTTTGGCCTACTATACCACGCTGGCCAGACAGGTTGGTAAAGGGTTTACCCTTTTTTTTTTTTCCGTGCGGAAATCCCTTCGGATACCACCTATCGGTGGCACGCCGTCTCCGGTACTAATAGCCGGGGAACCAGGTATACCCTAGAAAGGAAGGCCCTGGTGCCCCGAAGGTAAAGGGTTTACCCTGACTGCGTACGATGTTGTTGAGTGACTTAATACAACTTTTTTATATTTTCAATTTAATCAGTCATAATTTTCGTTCATTTTATTTTATTTTCGTATCCAATTAGTCTTATCACGGGTTTTTTAAACAATAGAGTGACTTCCCAATACTTCACTTCATGTTAATACAGGTTTAATAATTAGTTTTGTAATAAACTCACTACAACCACAAATAATTTAATAGGCCGTGTTATCAAACAATAGTGTTTCGTGGGTGTCGTAAGAGCTGGCTAAGAATTCAAAACTACGCAGGATAACAGCACTGCAAAGAGAAGTAAAACTTGACACAAACCTTTGGTATACCAACCCGTCTGGCAAGCGTGGTATAGTTTATTTTTTCTCTCTGGTCTCGTCACCCGTTGCGACCGTCACCTTTCAATGTACACCTCGGCCAAAACCTCCTTTTTAAGAATAGGCCGATGTCCAGCAGTGGCCTATAAAGCATGATGATAAAACAATGGGTGGAAAAAACTAAAAATAATAAAATGATTTAGTTTTGAATGTTTTCTTAATTATTAGACTTGGTCATCATCATCTGCCTACCCTTTTCCCAATTCTATTTGGGGTCGCAGTATGTATGATTTTTCCATTCTACTCTGTCATGCGTCATCTCACTGTTTACTCCTTTCCTAGCCATATCCTCCCTGACGCAGTCCATCCACCTCTTCTTCGGTCTGCCTCTTCTCTTGTACCCTTCAACTCTTATACCTAAAACTTTCTTCGCCACATTTTCCTCATCCCTCCGCATGACATGTCCAGACCAAGATAACCTATTACTTCTTAACTTTTCACCCAGTGACGCTACTTTTAGACTTGGTGTTGTAATAAAAATAACTTTATTCATCTTTTTAATTATCTGTGTTAGAATGCAGGGGGCAAACGAGGAGGCTACAGCGAAAGTTTTTAAGATAATATAATGGGCTAAGTTGGGAATTATGTAAATACTGTTACACAAAGTTGACTGACTTTTTGGTTTACTGGTTAGTGACCTTGATGACTGAGCCGGAGATTGTGGGTTTTTATTGCCCGCCCAGAACAACAAATTTTGTGATAAACACGATACTTGTTCTGTGTCTGGGTGTAATTTATTTAACTAGCGGTACCCTGATACACTTCGCCGTGGCTCATTGTGGTTGCAAAAAAACAGAAAAATAATAATCTATGAAGCCAGTTGGATATGGTGACAAATTGTGAGTTCAGTCGGTGCAGAGTTTTTTGAGTTTTTGAAGCGAACACAAACCAACATAGTAATAGGTGTATAGATAAGTATGTGTTTAGAAATATATAAGTACTTTAATCAGCAGTTTGGTTACTATAGCACAGGCTGTGACTAGTTTGGGATCAGACGATCGTGTGTTAGATGTGTCAAGAAATGATTATATTGAAAATAACAGTGGATTAAAGGCTGTGGTAGAAAATCTATTAAATCTATACTAATACTAGCTGACCAGCGCAACTTCGTCTGCGTCTCTCAATAGTAATAAATTTTCCCCGTTTTTGAAACATTCTTCATTTGTGCTCCGCTCCTATTGGTCTTAGCGTGATGATATATAGCCTATAGCCTTCCTCGATAAATGGGCTATCTAACACTGAAAGAATTTTTCAAATCGGACCAGTAGTTCCTGAGATTAGCGCGTTCAAACAAACAAACAAACAAACAAACAAACAAACTCTTCAGCTTTATAATATTAGTATAGATTATAAAGCTGAAGAGTTTGTTTGTTTCAGTGTTAGATAGCCCATTTATCGAGGAAGGCTATAGGCTATATATCATCACGCTAAGACCAAAAGGAGCGGAGCACCAATGAAGAATGTTTCAAAAACGGAGAAAATTTATTACTATTGAGAGACGCAGACGAAGTTGCGCGGGTCAGCTAGTTTCTTATACAAATGAATCGAGTAGCGTAAATGACATATAGCATACCACAATGTATTGTAATGTGTGTATGTCACAAAATATTGCTGTAGCAAAAAATTGGTACCGCACGTGTATCCGCTGAGCAACCACAGCAAGTTAATTCACACGTGGCACAAAAACGCTGGCTGCAATCCCGAGGCTTCCACTCTACACGGCTACACTCGAAAGACCCTTTTTTTTATCGAATGATGATATTTTACATATCTATTTTTTGTACACCATTTGTACAAAAAATAGATATGTAAAGTTAGTGCTTGTGTCTACTTTTAATACAATTTAAATTAAAAAAACTTCTTCGGGCGAAGTGTTTGGTTCTGTACACATTTCTAGAAGAGGGGAAATAGGACTTACTAGTGGCATCACTGGAGTCGAAGCTGGTGTTCCTGTGGTTCGTTACCTCATCGCTGTATTTGCTCTTAACGCACGGTTGGGTCGTTGGCCTCGAAGTGATCCAGTCAGCTAACCGCTGAGCGGGGTCCGCTGTAATAGCAGAAATAGAGAAGATGACGATTACACAAAGCTACCACGATCTGTTAAATATTATCATATTGAGGCATAAATGATATTTTAGAGTCAAGGATTCCACCCAAGTCGCGCACTTGACGGACTGTGGCAATCAGAAGTCCCAGTGCAAGGTCTTATACTCACAGACTGTGTTGTTATTCAATGCCGCGCAGGCCTGGGCAATTTGTCCAGGTCTAGCATACTGCACCAGGTAGGCGAACGTCTCCGTAACACCATACCAGAAGAATGTTGCTACGTCTAAGGCGTTGGAAGCGTCGATTGGGGAACAGGTCCTGTGAGTATTTAAGTACACGATATGTATCACAAAAAACAATGAACAGGGAGAGCGAAGCAAGCCCTAACACTATCCCATACAATCTTTGCATTTTGGTGGTACAATTTACTGAGAAACTATCATACTTTCAGGTTCGGGCTTTGGCATTGTAGTTTCAATTCATGTCTAGATGTGTTATCTATACAAATATATAAAATTGAAGTGTCTGTTTGTAATGTCAAAATTATGGGTTTTCTTTATGCTCTGCATAAGGAGAAACTTAGGCTATTTTTCCTCTCAGAAAAACCCTTTAAAATTTTACCCGATCCGGGCATCGAACCCACTAAGGCAGCGCTTTTCAAATTCCACGCGAACGAAGTCGCGGGTACCAGCTAGTCTACCATTAAAATATTGCATTATTGTGCTACTAACGCCATCTATCGATAATTATAAAACCAATAAGTAGTATCGATGTAAACAGAATGTTGAGTTAAAAATACGCTGGACTTTTTTTGTTTCATCAACATCATCATCATCAACAGCCTTTAATAGTCCACTGCTGGACATAGGCCTCTCCTTAGAAAGGAGGTTTTGGCCTACTATACCACGCTGGCCAGACGGGTTGGTATAGGGTTTGTTTCAAGTTTTCCTTCTTTTTGCAGAGCTGTTGTCCTGCGTAGTTTTGCTCCCTTAGTCGGCTCTTACGACACCCACGGGATGAATCGGGGTAGTGACATTCCGTATTCTCAATCCACGGACGACTTTTTGTTTAGCACAAATAAATAATGAGTAGTTAATTATCAATCCCAGAAACTTCCCTTCTTCCCTTCCCTTCGCGGCACCGTGCGACTAACGTGTGACTTCATGTGCTAACAATTTAAATATTGTTTTCTGTTTTTCTGCGACTAGTTTCCGGCTTGCGGGCGGCTAAAGGTTGTGTATAGTGTTTTAAAGAAAGTCAGTAAGTTTTTATTGTTTTTAAACAGTAATATAGTGCTGAATTATTTTATTACTACTATTGGTGAGTAAATTTATTTTCTTTCTAAAAGTGGGTAGGAGGTGTCCTTTGTTTATATTGATTTTTCTCTGCGTGTTATTTATTTTTAAACCTGTTCCTTTTGAAATTGTTGTTTGGTGTGTCTTTGTTTGGCTATGTCGGTCGTTAGCGAGTTGCCGGACCCCGGCGGTACAAGTGAATTTCTAACACCAACCGGGAAAAGGACATTTATCGAAATGTCACCTACGGGTTTCTCGCCGAAAGACAGTAGCCGTAGGCGCGTTATTAATTCGGACTTAAGTGGTAATGTTTCGTCTCCTACCGGTCGTGATAACTGTGGGGAGTACAACTACTGTGACTTAGTATCACAGGCCACTGATTATTTGGCAAAAATTAATGAATTAGTTAATGATCAGGGATCTCGGATGAATGTAGGTAATAAAACGGCGATTATGGATATAACTCAACGAATTACCGGTATCGTATCTTTGTTAGCAATAAAATCCTCTAGCAACGAAACGAAGTTAGCGAATTTTGAGAGACAAATGGAGGGTATCGCAACTCAACAAACGAGTTTAACGTACGCGGACAAACTTAAGCTTCGATTACCACCTAAATCTGCTCCATGCCCGGTACCTACTGAAGCGCGCGTTCCTAGGCCTTGTGTCATTGCCTATCCCACTACGGAACGCTTAGCGGACTATGCGACCTCGTCAGCAACAAAACAAGCTCTCATGAAGGCTATTAAACCGAGCGATGAGGGATTTCAAATTGTAGGCGTTAAAAAAACCTCTAAGGCAGGCGTCGTGTTACGTGTAGCTAACGAACGGCAGCTTAAGAAACTGGAATCTGTGGACGCCATTAAATCAGTAGGGTTGCGCTTAGAAAAAACCGAAAGGCCGTAGGCCCCGTATAATTGTAAAAGACGTACCCGGTTCTATGGAAGATCGTGCCTTCCTAACAGCCTTATACCGTCAGAATATCAAGGACGAATTAAAATTAAGTGAGAACGATTTTATTAAGTCAACCAAAATTGTTAGGCATCGTAAACTAGAAAATGGGCGTCAATGGATAGGCTTAGAATTAGAGGCAGCAGTTCGGAAACATCTAGCCAACACAAAAGATAAACTTTATATAGACTGGGCCACATGTAGATTCATAGACGATATAGAAGTAGTTCGTTGCTTAAATTGTCAGCAATTCGGTCATGTACAAAAGTTTTGCACCATAAAAACCCCTACTTGTGCTAATTGCGCCGCCGCACACGAAACGCGAGCTTGTCCAGATAAAGACACACCAGATTTTAAGCCCACGTGCGCACAGTGTAAGCGGTTCAAAAAACCATCTGACCATCGATGCGGCTCATACGACTGTGCCACATACAAATTAAAACTGGAACAGCTAATATTAAATACCAATTACTGAATAGTTTAACTTAGTTTAAAAAAAAAAAAAAAAGTTAAAAGAGTAACTTACTAAGTAATGAATAATATTTCGATAGGCCAGTTAAATCTTCATAACGATAAAATAGCTACATCAGAATTAGACCGTTTAATTTTAGAACAAAAGTTAGACATTGTCCTTTTACAAGAACAATATCAGAGCGCTCACTTGCGTCGTAATGTAGTACAGCTTGACTGCCGTTCGCAGGCTGGGATATATGTTGCAAGTTCTAATTTTACGGTAACATCTTTGCGTAATCTTATGACGTCACACTGCGCCGTTGCTGAGATCTCATCCTCTACCTGTAAGGTTTACGTAGTGAGCTGCTATTTTCAATATTCACATCCTATTGATCCTCACTTACATCACTTACGTTTCGTCTTGCAGTTCCTCGTGGGACATAAAATTATCATTGGCGCTGATGTCAATGCGTCATCTTCATTATGGTATGGCAAGTTGCGTTCAACCGACACGGTTCGACGTTGTGCGGTTGAAGATTTCATTGCGGAAATGAATCTTATTATTCACAATACCCCCGATGCACCACCAACTTTTTGCAACCCAATGGGTGAGTCTTCTATTGACGTGACGCTTACGCGCGGCGACGTCTCGATATCCGGATGGCGTGTCCTTCCGGACGCATCCTGTAGTGATCACCGCTTGATCGTGTACGAATTCATACCAAGGGTTGCACAGGATCCACAAAGGGCTCCCTATAATTTTAGATATAAAACTAAAGGTGCGAACTGGGCTTTGTTTGGTTCACTCTTTGCAACTCATACCAAAGACTTCAGTCGCAGTAGTTTATCAGCTGAGGAAAGCGCAGAAATACTATCAGAAACTTTTACATACTGCGCTGATGTAACTATTGGTCGCGGATCTATCACTAACACTCGTAGATGTGATTGGTGGAATGATAGATTAGCCGAACTACGTAGAAGCTACCGGAAAGCTCGTAGAAAATTAAACACTATTAAAAAACATAACGTAACAGGAGATTTGTACAACAATGCTCTCATTGCTCTTAGAGTTGCCAGGTCCCACTACAGAGCTGCTGTGGAAAAATCCAAGGGAAACTTAATTCAGAAACTTGTTGATAAACTCGATAGAGAGGGCCCGTGGTCACCTTTGTATCACGAATTTAAGGCAAATAGATCAATCGACCTTGCATACATACAGAACATCAAAATTAATAACAGATATACCACAGGAGTAGAACAAACAGCAGAATATCTTTTAGACTCACTCGTACCTGACGATCGACCGGAAAACGACACTGATCATCACCGACAGATCAGGCAGTGGGCCATCGAACCACCACTGTCTCCAATGTCTGATTTACCATCTTCAGACGAATTTCTCAGTATCATTAGATCCTTGCCGCTAAACAAGGCTTCGGGCGATGATAAAATATCTAACAAAATGATAAAAGAAGCTTGTAAACTTTCGGGTGACACGATTTTCACTGTCTTTAAACGTTGCATTGCTGAAGGAATATTTCCTCGTATATGGCGGTGCGGTAATATTCGTATAATACCAAAAAGTGGCGACAAGCCACCGGATGATCCTAAATCCTACCGACCAATCACATTATTACCATCGTTAGGAAAGCTTTTAGAACGTCTTGTAGTGCCCCGGCTTCTGCCAGGTGGAGTCAAATTTCATGATAGACAATTTGGATTTACGTTGGGTAAATCGACAACTGACGCTGTTATACTAACTTTTAAACTTTCGCGTTCCATGATAATTAATATTATTTAACGGGAATTAACGCGATCTCTTATTTAGGGTATTACATACCAGAGGTATGTAATACCCTAAATAAGAGATCGCGTTAATTCCCGTTAAATAATATTAATGACGCTGTTATATCGGTTAGAAAGTTTGTCACAGAGTCAACATTTCAATACGTGCTGGCTATTTTCTTAGATATATCTGGCGCCTTCGACAACGCATGGTGGCCCATGCTGTTGCTGAAATTAAAATCACGGGGGTGCTTTAAAAATATTTATTCCCTTATCTCTTCGTACTTTTCACAAGGTACAACTAAACTAAGACTTGGTCATCATTCTGTGTCGAAGGCGCTTACAATGGGATGTCCTCAGGGATCGGTGCTAGGTCCATACTTGTGGAATATCGGCTTCGACGATTTTCTTGCGATACCAATACCATCCGGATGTACTCTGAACGCGTATGCTGATGACGGCTTATTACTGGTGGAATCTGATACTAGGGCGGGGCTTGAGAGATTAGCCAATAGATGTTTGAACTTGATATCTCAATGGGGTGAACGTAATCGCTTAACTTTTGCACCCAACAAAACCTTCCAGCTACTTTTAAAAGGTAACCTCAAATCACCGCCGAGCATTAGATTTGACAATGTTACTGTAAAAAATAAAACCACAGTGTGTTATCTAGGATTAGTTTTAGAAAGAAACTTTTCATTTATCGAACATATTAAAATAGTTAATGAAAAGTCTAAAAAGAGTTTCTGTGCATTGACAAGGATATCAACTGCGACATGGGGTCTATCATTTAATACATTAAAGATCATATACGGAGCTACTTATTTAGGTTCT